CACCACCGAGAACGTCTATGCTTCTAAAAACTAGAAACAATCAGAGCACTCCCACTGCACTCAACTAATAGAGCGTGACTGGATTCGAAAACTAGAAATGAAATAACCGAATCTGTTCGATAACTGATGTGAAGAACATTTGGGACGTTCGTTTTCCCAATACAATATCCAATTTTTGCAAACATAACTTGAAAGTATTCACGAACCGTATCCTCTGATCTCGCAACGTTTTCCAGTGAATCCGTTTGGGCATTTGCACAGATACTCATTGTAGAAGGGAATACACTGTATACCCAGTGGACAGGGACGTGAACCACACGGATCCATGTCTATCTCGCAGTTGGCGCCACTATAGCGCGTTGGACATGTGCACCTGAAAAAAAAAGTGTGAAGCTGGATCACCTAGTAGCCATAGAACGGAAATGACAGGTTTTGAAGAAAAACTTGACTTGAAATTCGACGTCGTGAATAAAGACATACTCAATGACCCTTTCCTTGAACACAAGTAGGAAAGTGTGCGATCTTTTGTACGATCATCGAATTCTCGCACATAGTCAGCGGCATTCGGAGTCATAGGACTCTAACTACCCTAAAATTCCATAGATAAGAGCGGGTGAATCTACCGGTGAAAAATAAATTGGAAAAAATCGAAATTGAATGCAGGCACCCCTCTATCTTGATGGATGGTTAAATGAAAATCGGAGAAGAAGTTTAGAAGAAGCTCCGCCCCTCAACTCCAAAACCCCGCCCGTTTAATAAACAATTCATATAGAAAAACAGCGATCCGTTGAAATCGCTGTTTTTCTATATGAATTGTTTATTAAGTGGGCGGGGTTTGGAGTTAAGGGGCGGAGCTTCTTCTTAACTTCTCCTTCGAGGTTTCATTTATCCATCCATGAAGTTAGAGGATGACTGCATTCAATTTCAATTTTTTCCAATTCATTTTTCACCGGTAGGTTCTTCCGCTCTCATCTATGGAATTTTAGGGTAATTGAAAAAACTCCATGGTCATCATGCTCCCTGGCTATCGCTATTAAAAGCGCAGTCCACGATAATTTTGTGTAATCTAGTTTTGGACGAGTAATAGAAGTGCTAATTTATAGTAGTGCAAAAGTAGCGAAGAAAACGCGAAAATCGGCGTATTTTGAGAAACATCAGACTTCAAAAAAGAAGTTAAATAAGGGTTGGACGAAAAAGTTACAAAAAAAGCTGCATGGAAGGGGAGCTTTGGACGAACTGTTCGAACGCGCGCGCCATTGCATACAGCTAGCTGCAAACGCGGCTTGCATTCATGGTGTGGATCTCGGTGCGAATGGTGCAACATCTAAAGCTTTTACGACTTTCATCAACTCGCCCGTCCTGGGCATGTACGCCGGTCGTTTCTGATGAGGTTTTTATGTTCACAAACATTTGGAATGTGAAAAGTTTTTACAAAATTTCGCTCATAACCGCAAGTAACTACGGCTTCCTGTGTCCTATGAAATATACCAGGAACGAGCAAGTAAGTCAACTTCAAATTAAGGAATTTTGCATAAAATATCAAAATTTGCAAAAAGAAAACTGTCTGACTTTTCATCGTTACCAAGTTCTTATTTTTAAGTTCTTATTACTTCTTACTATTAAAAATAGGGCTGTTTTGCTTTCCTATAGACACTATTACAAAACTTCTGACTTCAGTTGAGTCGAATTTACCTACTAAGCTCAAAATAAAACTCAAAATTGTTCTGTTCGAAAAACTAAATCCTTTTCTTACTGTTAATATTCTATTCAGTTACCGGTTCTTTTACATTTTCAGTCACGATTTGTGGGCAGCATAATGACCATTGAGTTAACACATGTAACTGGGGTTGTCTAGCATAGTGATGCGAAGTGACCTCGATCGTACGAAACTTCTCACAACCCGAGTAAGTGATATAGCAGTTGAGGGAACTTACTGGTATGTCTTATCGATGACTTGACAAGTTCCCCCATTGCGACACGGCGCTTCGGAGCACGGCGTGGCTGCCATCGCTCGACAGCCTGTGCTTGCTGAGTATAAACGCAGCCCTTGGCGAGTCTTCGCAACACTTCTTAAATTAAAACCAACTTTTATCCGCGAAAAAGTAAGAATTAATCACTAAAAATAACGAAGATATGTGGACGAGTTTCTCTGGGACAGATGTAGAACAACGGAAAAGTTGTCAGCTCACCGTCGATCAATCGAAATCGCTCGAAAACAGGCCACAATCGCTTTTGTGATTGACACGGAGGATGAATTTTCACGTTCGACGCGAGCACCAAAAAACAGTCGATGACTGGCTGAGTACAGATTGATGACATCGCTCCCTGAAGTGGTAAGTAAGATTACTGCTGGAGAGCTACAGCTGGTATATTCCGAGGATGAAAAGCCAGGGAAACAGAGCTTTCTTACCAGCAGGACTCCATCCCTCCTTTGTATCAACACCGTCGAGTTGAAGACGCGTTCTGCGACCACGGCGACTGACGGAAACTCGATGCCATTGGGCGTCTGCAATCGATGTGTCCGTAGCCACAGTTCCCTCTCCAGAACCGGCGTCCCAACGATAAAGAACTCGTCCATTAACCAGCTGCAACTCATTTTGATGGACACTTGGAAGCGGTTGTTAGAATTAATTCCAAATTTCTCAAAACCCTCTCTTTGGTAATAGAAACGCGAACGAGTGTTCGGAGGCCATGGATGGCTGCGTACCATCCACGGCCTTAATCTTATCACCGAGGGGGCTGGTAACCAAAAAATTTCACATAACATTGAGTAAACTCACAAAACTTCGTTTTTTCTCATTCATAAGAAAGTAAAATTTCAAAAATTCGGTACAGAATAATTCTAAAAAGAGATTATAAATGCACCTCCAACATGTGGTAGTCACTCGGTCCATGAGCATGCAAAATTACTCCCATCAGTGAGGTGGTCTTCAATTCCACTTCAAGTTCCATACGTGTCTCCATTTCATGAGCGATTGACATCTCAAAGTAGCCTGACCCACCGACAGAAAGCTCCGCTTCTGAAAGAAATTCTCCGTCAACCTGGCGCATCAACAGAGCTACACAACCAGCGTACCTTCCAGGCAGCGACCTTCGTTAGCACATGACGCTTGGGAGCATTTATCGCCAGAGGAACCGGGTGGACATACACATTCGAATCTAGATCCCTCTGACGGTAGGCACATCTCCCACGGATGACAGGGCGAACGGGCACAAGCATTTATTTCCTGTTCACAACGTGATCCACCATAACTGAAACAGAGCCGCGACAATTCAGCGTTGTAGCATAACTACTTATGGTAGGTGTAACCACATGAAGCCTACTACGGACTTTGTAAGGAAAGAATCGATGAATATGATACATAGCATTCTAGTACTGAGTTCGGACGATTATAAACGTACCCCTCCGGACAAATGCATTCCGCTACGCGATGATGATTTGGAGCTACAAATGCGACTCCTCCAGTAGAAACGACAGTTTGCTGCTGATCATCGAGGTAGACCCGTTCTCGACATTCACCTCGTTGACAGACACCCGGCGTACACATTTCAGTGGTCAACTGGTACTTCTAAAAAAACTCAAAAATCGATGGATCAGCTTTTGAGAAGACAAGTCAAAATAACAAACACGAGCGGTTTTTTTTTTGTTTTGATTGTGAAAAAATGTGGTTGCGCGCTCCCGAATTTTCTCAACGGTGGTAGAACAGACGAACAATTCCCCTTGGACAAAAGTGTCCGAAATCGGAAAGAACGCGGAGACTGACAATGAGTTGCGGGAATTGATAACAGTGGCAAAGGCTGCCAAGGAGCTTGGCAGACAAGAGCCACTGGGACAGTTGCGCTTCACAAGAGCGGAAAATTCGTTTCATCGAGAGACCACGACTTTTGATTACTGCTGCACTACGAGACGACATTGATCCGATGAGTTTGTGAGAATAGCAGTACACCTTCTCATCGACCCTTTCCCTTTACATCCCCATACGCTACAGAGTAAATTGGGCAGTAATCTCATTACTGATTACTACTTTGTCTTTGCAAACTTTGCCGATCTTGCTAGAACTGATTCTGTTTGTTACTTCCTGTATTGTATCAGTAAAGGGCCACCCAGTCGGAGTTGTAAATAAACAAATGATTAACTAATTAAATAATTGAAGATGACTGAAGATAATAGTCACCATGGTTCCGCTCTCATCTACTATGCTCTGAAAATCGTGCTTGAGCCTCGTATACACGTGGTCTGGTTTCAGCATCCCTCGACCTCCTCCTCGCGACACGGTGAACAAAATATCGAGGTCTGTATGCTTCGAATCTGGTACAACCGATCGAGGTCGTCTTGCTGAAATCACGAAATGCAGTAAAAGTTGTTGAGCAAACTAATCAAGAAGCACTCACTTTGTGGCGTCTCCTGCACACTCAACAGCTGAATATTTCGCGCATCGACATTCAGATGCTGAGCGAAGACCGCTTTAAACTTGGCTGCATATTTTTCGAAAAACTCTAACGCCGTCATGCCTTTCAGACGAACGGCAACAGCATGATCAACAGCGTCTTGCTCCAGAGATGTCACCTGAAAGAGTAGGTTCACTCGAACATCACAAACCTTGGAACACTGCACATCCCACAACAATTCCATCAACTGATTCAATGTTCAGCATTCAGCAAAAAAAAAAGCTGAAAACCCACCAGCACTTCCACGTAGCTAACTGTCGTGAACTTCCCGTCAGTCACAGAAACATTGAACGCGTGAAGACCTCCCGGAATACCGTGATCACTCCACACCTCAAAGCAGAAGTTTTACTTACTTTTACTGAAGTACCGCTGAGCAAGTTTGAAAATCGATTTCAGATACCTCGCCAGTGTTTGCGTCAACCCTGAACAAATGCGGCTTCACAACATGAGGACGTGGATGAGCATCCGTGGGCAATGGGCCGAGAACACTTCCATCGACTATCGAGAATCGAAGCATGTCTCCAGCATCCTTCAAGGAAACATATCCTTTTTGACAGTGATGAGTAAACCATTTACGTGCACTTCTTACAGTAATGACAAATTTTGACTGAATGGCAAAAGTGAACTTTGGCAAAGATGAAACTGAGGGATTGCGCATCGGACCACTCCTTCGAGGGGCAAATGAAAAAAAAATTGGAGACGGACTAATGATAGATTTTTAAGAACCATATTATCGTCGAAAACTGAGCCTTCAAAATCCAGTACGGCTCGATGAAAATCATTTTGGAAAATTTCCGCAGTAATTAAAACAAGTAATCAGTAAGATTAAAATAACCAGTTAAAGAAAAGAGAAATGTTGAGAAAAAAATGTTGTTGAAGGGAAAATACTGTTTAAAGTTGCTCTTGAACTGAAAGAAATCATGTACGAACTTCATCGCTAGCTTGAACAGTGCCGACCACTCCGCCTTTGAATTCTCCCATCAGGGTATTCAGTGAAATCCTCAACGGCGATATACGAGGAGGATGTCGACTTTCTTCCTTCACAAACACTGTCAATGGACAATCCGTCGAGCGATTCCCGCGATCGTAAGCGATCAACTAAATTGGTCCAAATTGAGAAAGAACAAACAAAAACCTGATTCAGCATCATGCAGAAAATAGGCAAGAAGGGAAAAGTCAAAGGAAACTCTTACAGTGAGCAAAAATCGGTCTCTTCTCGCGTGATCGAAACGAGTCACGGTCACCAAGTTGTACTGGTCATCCACTCGAAAAGCTTTTGCTCCCTCGCCACGAACTTCCACACGAAAAGGTTCTCCGAAATTCGAACCATCTGCATCGGTAATGGATAATGGGAGAAGAGTATGTCCGGGGAGGACACCTTCCTGAAATAACCTATTGAGCGATGTTTGAAGGAAAGTCGTCTTTTCAGTTGAAACTAAGGCTTTTTAGGTACTCGCCTGCACCACAGCTGTCATATTACAATCAGCAAATACTGGGGCATTATCATTCACATCATTCACATCAATCAGCACGGTTACTGTCGATTTTTGTGGAGGTTCACCACCATCACGAGCCTCGACTTCGAAGCGATGATATGGTCTCTAAAATGCGCACATGTCAATGTGGAGGTGCATGGGTAATTACGGGCGGCTTCAATAACCAACCGTCTCCCTATCTAGCGGCCCAGCGACCGTAATTAGTCCCTGTTCGTCAATTTGGAATAGATTCGCGTCATCTTTGATGAGCGAATACGCCACCCGACCATAATGCTCACTGTCCGCATCTTCAGCTCTGACCTGAAACACGATTTCTTTGGAACACTCAGACAATACTGGAACAATGATTGGAGTGCTGACGATTTTGAACGGTTTCGAATTGGAACTTGTCGGGAAAAGCAAAAAGCAGTGAAACCGCGATGAAACTTAGTTAAGCAGAAGAAACTATGCATTTACCTTCACAACTTTCGTGCCCACTGGAGAATTCTCATCGATCGTGGCTTTATAACTTTCCTTCATAAACTTAGGGATGTTGTCATTCTCGTCCAAGACCTGAAAGCTTTGACTTTCTTTGCTCTGATCGGCCCCATGCTAACATACACTCCAAACATGTTCTGTTTTCAGTTGTTCATTTCACACTTGATTTCCAAAAATCAGGCTTGCTGACGCAAGTGGAGTAATAAAGAGTGATGCGAACAAGTTTCGCCATAACGGGGGTCAAATCCTGACGAGGTCCAGCAAGCCCTGAAACTATGGGGCCCAACGCCTACTGTTACTGTTAAAGCAGTTTATTAGAATGGAAGCACTGAGATTTATAATTAGTGGTCCGCAAAAGATGCCTTTAAGGTCAGACGCAAAATGATTTTGAATAAAGGCCGAACATATGGGAACACGTTTTCAAATCCAGTGCAGTTCCAAATACTATTTTCCTACAGAAAGCATACAATATTAACCGCTAATATTTATAACTGATGGGAAAAAAGCATTATGAATAATTCGCCGAATGTGTATGTATAAGTGCATGGTATATGCGTAAATGTGATATGCACGTATACATAAGGGTGACCACATTTCTATAAAACCCTGTTCCCAGCTCGAAAACGCTCTGCGCAGACCAAACCACAGGCAACATACGTTACCTGTAGCCACAATTAAGCGACATTAGGAAACTTAGTTACTCGGTTACGTCAACTCTCCCCGGTTCCACTCCAACGATTTCACGTTCATTTAAACTCTCTCTTCAAAGTTCTTTGCAACTTTCCTTCACAGTACGTTTGCTATCGAATTCGCGCCTATATTTAGCCTTAGGTGAAGTTTATCACCCACTTTGAGCTGCACTTTCAAGCAACTCGACTCTGAGGTATAATCATACAGCTAGCTCCACTGTTAGGTTTCGCAACCTCTCAGGAAAGTGAGAGAGGTGAGTTTGGTAGCATGAAAACTGATTTATAACGAACTTTAGTAACACACCTGTACAGTCACAACGGCCTCCGATGAGAGAGGTGGCGATCCAGAATCAGTCGCAATAATGGTCAAGGATAGCAGCTTTTCCTTCTCGTAGTCAAGTCCCTTGGCCAAGGTGAGAATTCCTACAAAAAGTACCCTCCTCTCATGAGATGGAATTCATTGCTGAGTTGGCAGTTTTAGGATATTCAGTAGTCATACAGATACTTGTCATGCAATAAACAACAATAGCAACCCGATGCAATCTGAGGGAGAGCAATTTCAATAATTGTTGGTTCGATTTGCATCGCAAATCCCTTTCTCATCTTTTCCGTTGTAAAACAATATCAGAACATTTGGTGGCTGAAGGTGGAAGTTCAGGTCTAACTATGCTTTCAGACATTCACAACCCCTCAGTGTTTAAAGAGATTCTAACCCACACAATCATACATGTCAGGAAGGAAAATTCAAGAGTGGCGATAATTCCTTGAAAACCAGTGATATGATAGTTATCCTAGACAGGACGTCATTTTCTTAGCCTACGACTATTAGAGAAGAGGATACTCTTGTGATTATGGAAAAAAAAATCAAAAAAAACCCTACCTTTCTGTTCATCGAGAGTGACATAGCCATTGTGCGTCCCGTTCTCAGCCAACTTGTACCTGACTGTCTCCCCAGCATCTCCTCCTTCAGCATGCACCGTCGCTAACGTATATCCGATAGATTCCGACTCCATCACCTATCAGAATTTCAGTTTATACATAGAGAGAAGCTGCGTATTTGAACGAAAGGAGAACATCCGTAAATTGAAAAACCAATTTGCGCTCGGCCAGAAAATTATTCTTGAGATTGCTAACCTGCAGTACATACTCGCTTCTCTCGAACAATGGCGGATTATCATTCTGATCAAGCACTGATACAAGAACCATGGCTGAAATTCACATGATTAGCTCTATTATTAATGAACTGAATGATAAGATCAAAATTGAAATTACCTTTAGCACTTTTTGGGTTTACCGGATCCGAATCCTGCGCCACCACATGCAATAAGTACTCATGCGTCTGTTCTCGATCCAAAGGACGCGTTACCGTAATTGCTCCTGTGTCCCGGTCAATCACGAATGTCCCACCATGGTCTGATGCCAAGCTGTACTGCACACGCCCGAACGCACCAGAATCCTGTACATAACCATATATCCTGAGGTTCACAACCAAACAAAATGGCCACATGTTGCATGAGGCAGAATGCCCTCCTACCTTGTCCACAGCATGAACCCTTACAACAAAGCTCCGCTCGGACTCGCTTGCTGGTTCATTTTCTTTGATAGAAACGGTGAGCTCGGTTTTTGTGAAAACAGGAGCTTCGTCATTCACATCGATGATACGCACTTCTACTGGCTGGCTGCAGGAAAAGGCCATACTTTTTAACTCCAGTTGACGAGTGAAGACAAACTGAAAAATTCCTAGGATTCAATAACGAGGAAAATGACGTATAAAAAGCAAAACTCCTAGGTCGGGTGCTGAATGAGCAAAAGTAGCCTGATCCGTAACGTAAAACGTACCTTTTTTCTAGATTCAGCATCCAGTACTCCTTTCACCGAAATAGAACCAGTATTCGGGTCGATCGCAAATGGTAATACTTCCGAGGAGAGAAGTAGGTAACGTTTCCCGGGAAGTAAGACAGGGGACTCTTCACGATAGATCTCTTTATTCAACGAGATGTCCTCCCGTACTTCTATTAATATCTCCTTTTCAGGATCACATTCGAATGTCGAGGTTGTTCCCGAGTTGAGCGTGATCTGAGAGGTCGAGAGTTCAGGGCTAAGTTCTACAGATTCAGGGCTAACTTCTACAAAAGACTTTTAGAATGTAGCTTACATTCATTGTCGCTGTCGTCGCGTGGACTCCATCGAATGCGAGAATAGTCAAGTTGTAACTGTGTCTCAGTTGACTCAGTCTGGCGATCGAGATTTTGCCCGAATCGTCGATGGCGAACAAGCCGTCATCATTTCCTCGACTGATGAACAAGCGAGTGTTGTTGAAAGGCGGTAGGTCTTTGTCCTTAATTTCGCATATTATTATTTCTCGATAAAAATCAACAACTATTACAGCCTGGTCTTGAAGGCGATCTAGCAGCGCGTGGCTCGCGTTAGGCTGATCAATGCACAACAAGACTCAGAAGGGGACGAGACTGAAACAAACCGTTACAACAACTCTGGCAACAATTTGGCCGACAGTCAGAACGCTGGAATCCACGTAGACAATGTAAAAATTCTCATCAAACTGAGGAGCTTCGTCGTTGACATCGGTGATCTGAAACCAATCGATAAAAGATGATTGAAAACTTGCCGGGATAGCTAAAAAGTTGCGAGCCCGAATCATCATTTGCACTACAGCCGTACTATTACAGGAGCTAGTTGTAAAAGCTATTCGAATCCCTTCATTTCTTCATGTGATCGCTAATCTATCCAATTTCCCGTTAGGCTTCCCGTATAAGTTAGAAATCCATAAATAAACAACGCAGTAATCGCATCTTCAAAAACTGAACCTCAATTTTGAACGCATGATCCGTGAAGAGCCCTCCTTCATCGGTAGCTCGTATTACAAGTTCAGCTACTGGTTGAAGTTCCCGATCGAGAGGAGCTGCCACAACTAGCCATCCCGATTCTGCATCCACTGTGAAGGCCTTGTTCCTTTCTGCTTTCTGGAATATTTAGGGCTAATTACTTCTGTTCGCATAAACAACGCATATCTTCACTACAAACCTCCACTAAACTGAATGAAATCCTCCCTCCCGGCGACCTGTCTGCATCTATCGCTGAGAACACCGCGACGGTCGTCCCCACTGGGGCGTCCTCACTGATCACTAGCCGATCGTAAGCTCCCGTGAAAGACGGTGCGTGATCGTTAACATCCGATAACCGTACAGTTACCATTGCCATAGAATGGGCACTATTTGCAGCATCAGCACGGACTACGAACCGCCACACCTAAGAGCATGAAAGCTGAGGAAAATAGGTACTAAAAACGAATGGAAAAACTTCCATAAACTAAGATAACCTCGCACCTCTTTCATTTCTCTGTCCAATGATCGACTAACAAGTAGTTGGCCAGTTGCGCGTTCTACTGAGAATGGGAAATCAGCCGGTGCATCTAACAAAGAGAAACGAACATCTGATACATCTGCAATGAACAGGATATAGAGGCGGCCTGATAGAGAGAACAGCAGAAGTAAAAGCCTTGTACCTTCAGTTTGTTGCAGCTTTCCTATCACAGTTCCTATGGCTGAGTCTTCAGGGATAACAAACAAATAGTGGCTGCTGCTAAATTTCGGGATCGCGACCTCATCAGGCAGCACTGAGATCGAAACCTGAGAAGTATAAAAGTAGACTGGACATTATTAATCTTTTTCATCCTACTGTTTGAATTAAAATATTCTTTCACATTGTATACCGCCGACAATTTCGTTCAAATCTCGTTTTCGGAAGCAATTCGGTCCATTGAACACAAGTATGACTTCTGCTTATATGATCTGGCGATGGTGCATCTTAGGTGGCGGCGCTAGATCTTTCATTTGCTCACCGGACATATTGGCCAGGTACAACGAGTGCAGGCCTAGCACCTGTAGAGGGGGGACGGAACTTTGCGCGTCCGAGGATGCGTGCGGCAAATTGCGCGGCGATGTGCGTGGTGATTCGAACGACTCTGGCGCCTATCGTTGGGGCCCAAATTTGAAGTAGAGTAGATTAGTAGAAACAGCTGTCCCTGCTAATCTGCTGCATTTCAAGTTTGGGCCCAAATGACAGGCGCCAGAATCGTTCGAATCGCCACGCACTTCGCCGCGCGCATCCTCGGACGCACGTATGGACCCATACCCCCTGTAGAGCATGCAGCTAAAGTCGCTCTAAGGCGCCCGCCTAGGAAACATGCATAGCGGATCAGATTACTTCGCGGGACGGTTTTCAACAAATATAGTGCCACAGGGTTTTAGCACTAGCGTCTGGCATGTCAGAATTTCCTGATCGTGCTTACTTTACTCAAACTACTTCCATAAACCCATTTTCAAGGACGGAATTCTGGAGAAGCGCGGTCTGGATTTCTGGAGCTAACGATGAGGCTGGGTAAAAGAAACACACTGAAAAGAAAGGGGACGTAAATTTGTGGAAAACAAGACAAAAGTTTGTGGTGGAGTAACCGAAATGGCCCGTAACCATAGTTAAACAAATTGAAATCTAAGGAAATCTCGATGGAATGATGAACGCTACCTGAGCATTGGCATGGTGAGGCGGATTAGCTTGATCAGTAGCGCGTACAGCGAGATTCAGTGAGGACCCAACTAAAACATCTATTAATAGGCACTTCTATTCCTATTTAAACGCGATACGAATAGATTCCGTTAATCAGATAGCTAAAAACACTACCCACCCAAGGAATCTAAGGTTTTGACGAGCGACAATGTGCCGTGACGTGGATGTATTCGAAATGACTGAGTTATGTGATCATCCCCCATTAGAGAGTATTCGACGGTGTCGTCAGAATCATCATCGCTAGCTGAAACCATCAAGAGAGTTTCGCCTTCGCGAGCGTTCGCCGACACAGTTGCTGAGTACCTGAATACCGTCGCTTTAGCAGATACAGCGAAGAGATTGTTAAAGGGCAAATCGAGAGAAACAGGAAATGTGGAGAAAGAAGTCTGCCTAATGAATTGGCAAGATCCACGCACTCTGTCCCAGTCAAAACGTACATCCATTCATTTGCGTAGCGCACTCATACAACCAGATTGGAGAGCTTTTCATCAGCGATTTATATATTCCATGTAGGTTGATGCATAATTACTGCGAATTTTTTAAAGAAGTTTTGAATTTTGAAAAAGACAAAAATATTTAACAAAGACATCTTCAAATAATTACTGCAGAACATATCCACCATGAACTACGTCAAGCTGTGCTTCCCACTTGCTAGGTAGTCGGATTCCACAAGAGAAGTTCCTATTCTTGGAGGAGATCCACAACTTGACATCGGCCATCAAGTCATCCATATCGCCGTAAGTTCTGCTTGCTAGCCAATATTGGTTGACGTGATAATTTATAAGGATTTCTCGATTTAGGAGCGAATCCCATTCCTTACTTGGCTTTGACTGACTGGCTGCTTACATAGTCCACGATTTGGCCCGCGAGCGAGCGAGCGATCGAGCGATTGTGTCGGCGCTTGCCCTTGGTATCGCCAAGATTCAGTTGTAACCAAGGGCCAAGCGCCGCCTCAGTCGCTCGATCGTTCGCTCGCGGGCCCAATCGTGGACTATGAAAGCAGCCACTGTTCCATCACCGAAAGTTCGTTGAAATCGTGAAATCACTCTGCCACCGTCCAACCATTCTTGAAGTAGTAGCGCAAACTGTGTCGAGCAAAGGGATGAGTTTCTAGAGCAACTCTGCTGAGAGCGAGAAGACTATTTCTACGAAAATCTCGAATTCAAAATTCAGACTGTATAGTAAGAAAAGAAGCCGCTAAAAAATTCGCACTATTATGCATCAACCCAATACCTTTCTATAAAGTTTTTCCTCAGGAATTTACTTAATATGAAGTAAGTGACATTAGACGAATTCAGCACACTTGCATTCTGATGCTTATACACGCTCTTCTCGCTTGTCACATTGCATTCACTCAGACTTATGCTCGATCAAAAATATAAAAAAAAACTTGCTTTCCCACTACAAACACCGGCGCACTGTCATTTACGTCCATCACGTTCACCGTGAGTGTGCTGAACGCTTTTCGACCAAGAGCATCCTCGACGACCAGCGGAACTCTGCAGCAGAAAAGATTATGAAGAGTCGAGCGGAGTACCAGAAGTTCCGAGTACGAAAAGCATGTGAAGTTGAAAAAGGCAAGACCCACTTGTAGATCTGTTGGAGATGGTAGGTGAACACTATTTTTGGATGGATTCGACCGGTGAGTTTCTCAATTCGAAGAGGTTTCTGGCGGTTATCGCCACCACCCATTGAGTAGTGCAGAGGTGGTACACCGTCAAGGGCTTGCACAGTCAGAATGGACGTTTTATTGGTTAGAACACTGAAATGAATACCTTTAATTTCAACAAACACTCAAAAACCAAAGTCTTACTTATTCTCGCGAACGTCAATAACGTATTGACTCTGTTCAAAACGCGGAGGAGGGTGGCGATTCCCAGACATAACTATGGATACCGTAAGCTGTCCGTACGCGGTGAACAGACCATCCGATACCGACACATTCAGAGTTTTCTGACCACCACCGCTCAAAGTATCATCAGCGTCGATGGGACGCAGCAACGATACCTCTCCGCTGTGTTCCGCGACAGAAAACAGCGTTTCATCACCTTCGATGACTGAATAAAAAAACCGGTGGCCGCCTTTTATTGAAGAGACGGTGTCCTTAAACAATGAGTGTAAGGCAGATAATCTCAACCATTCGAGAAAGCCGTTCCAAAGTAGACCCACATCATCTGTGACGCTAAGTATGGCAATGAACTGGCCAGCGGTCGCAGTGTCGGAAACGACAGCGGATGCGAATGGGGTGGAAAATCGAGGTGGCTCATCATTAACGTCCTCAACCTATAAATCAAGGAGTTATCAATATATTAACATGCATAGCGAACTTATCTGCCACAAGACCTACCGTAAGCACCAGCTTGGATTTTCCCACAAGTTGCGAGCTATCGGCTGCTGCCAGGGACATTTCGTAACGTCGTCGCTTTTCGAAGTCCAGCAGTTGCGCAAGACTGAGAATTCCTGTGGCGGAATCCATGTGGACGACTGGAAATAGACTATTCATTAACAACTACGAAACATCTCTTGCCTAAACCATTCCCTTGGGTATCGACAACTCTGAAACGGGTCGCGAATCCAAAGACCCATTAGAAACATGTGGGTGCTCAGGTGGCTATTAAATGTTACCAGAAGTTACTTCCCAAAAAACTACTTTTTGATAATCCCAAACATGTGCCCGATTAGTCCATTTGAACAGAAATCGACGCAGAACGCCGGTATGCTCATCAATTTGCTATGTTGTGCTTAATGCGCTAATGTTGATTAAACTCACTCGAAGAATCTCTTCCAGTGACAGCATAACTGATCAGTTCGTTTTCACCATCCGGATCCACGGCTTTCACAGTCAGTAGTTTCGTTCCTACTGGGGCCGCTTCCGACACATTTACACGATATACGAGATGCTCAAATCGTGGGCCATTGTCATTCACGCCAGTGAGCTAAATTTCAAAAAAATTATTTTAACCTGTTTCATTCAATCGTAAAACCACTAGGTTGCATCCCTAGTCTTAAACTGTGGATTCGATCAGAATCAAGGCCTGCAGTGACCGAAAAAGCCTTCTACCGCAAAAATATGATCAAGAGAACCATTTCTAAGATAAGTCGCGCACGAAGGCAGTTCAAAGACTGTGACAAATGCTTACTGTATGGGATGAATTTATTGATTTGAAGTTCCTACCTTTCTTTATTATTTCGGTCGGTAACCCTTTTCAAAATCGGTATGATTTTGTAATGCCCCTATTACAGCGAGTCGTGGCCTCGTTCTCACAAAACTTTAACCCGTCGTCGGAGCAAAGCGACACTCCCGATGAATGTTCTTTCGAACCAGGTAACAAATGGTAAAAAAGGCAACCATGCTTTGGTATCAAAGAGAGCTAATGGTCCTTCTCCACACTGCTGGGACTACAACAAGGGCTGTGAAGCACTTGAGAATCAAAAAAAAAGGAAATAGTTTCGAAGAAGAAGAATGCTGAATGAGAGAAAAGGTGCAAGCATCCGCTGCGCAATAGTTACAGCGGGGCACGGTGGCGAGCTGGTTCGGCGAGAGCATGGTAAGCGAGCTGCTTCGGCACGGCTGTTGTAAAACTTCCACAGAATCTACCGGTATGCATCGAGTGAAAAGGCATTTATGGAGTGAACATGATAGCCTTCATCCTCTATGCTGGTAAAGAAATTGTAAAAATTAGACGGTCATATATCTGGGGAAATAGGGCACCTGGGAACTTTACTTTTGGAATAGCTCAGTACTCTCGAGCATTCAAGGAAGTTCTTAGTTGAGCGGCTAATCTTACTGTCGCCCTAGACAACAAAATAAATAAAATTCGAGCCTGTCGAAATTGAAGCAAAAAAAGAACTAGGGACTTGGAATATTTTTCGAACAATTCTTCCAACTATCTCCCCACAAAAAGAGCCCATATCTCGAATGACCAACAACAGACCTCTATGTTGATAACAGCAGTCGAGTTCAAGCCATTCCTTGTCACATCTCTGACCATGACGGTTAAATTGTAAGCGGCTCGCTCTTCAGCATCCAGCTCGCCATTGACGCTGATTACACCTGAATTGATCAATAAAAATCAACGAATGAATGCTCCTCTTTAGATGTCGATATGGCATTTGGACGAGTAGTTTTCTCATTGAAATTTGCCTTCCTGGTTCCAAAAAAGTTGGAAAGAACAAATATTAGTCAAACAAAAAGGTAGGTAAAATCCCAGTGGTTTAGCCAGAGAAGTAAAAGTTACGGTCCACGATAAACATAGTCTCTGGGATGTCCTCCCAAACTGATCTGTGTCCCCTCGAACGCCATATGTGGCGCTGCTAGATCGGAAAACTGCCTAAATAGTGCCTTATAAGAGCTCAAAGACTGCATCGGCCATATGCCACACCGAAAGAACGAGCTTTGACGGTGCGCAGAGGATACCATTCATAAGAGTTACAACCACTCATGATCCACGGCGAATGTGTAAAAAAAAAGGTTGCAATATTAGGACTGCGGGCCGCTACGGAGCAACACCCTTATCGGCCAAATAATAAGGGTGCCTAATTACCATCAGCGGGATTTGCCCATACCCTAGGATCAGACTTTGAGCTTATTTTAAACAGTGTGAAAAAAAAACATGAAAAAGTATGAAGAAAACCAAACAACGTAATCCTTACCAGAGTCCATGTCAATCACGAATAAATCATCATCATTTCCTTCTTCTATGGTGTAAACCAGATGACCGCCGACATTGCTCGCAGCCTTCACCTTCGATACCTGAACCCAGCCTTCTACCTTACTTTCTTCGAAAGTGGTAACTGATCCAGCAAAAAAAATGTTACACACAAAGGACTCACAATAGTTTTCCTTGGCGCTGCTTCGGAAACAGTGGCTTCGTAATGTTTCTTGGTGAAAATAGGTCTGGCTTTCTCTACGACGTCAACTCGAACTACTTGTACAGTTTTCAGTGGAGGTTCCCCTGAACAAACAAATTTAGACAATCGCCTCTTCAAGTAAATAAGGTTGCTCTCGATAGAAAGCATTGTTTTGAGAGCAGAATTGAGAGCGTATACCATATCTGTCGCTATTAGGTCGGAAAAGACCTAGTTAGGGAATTGTAAAGGCTCAAAGATTGGCCCTTGTGTATCCTTGGACGAATTTCACCGGCAATATAGAGGCTGCACCGATCTTAAGGGAACCCATCTGAACCCAACTGAAATCTCGTCCGAATATCCCTTCCATGTTATTTCCGCCATGGCAATCTCGTCCATCCCCTATTTTCCTACTTTCGAGCAGCCATATTCCCATCGGAATCGACGAATTCTCTCGCTTTCTTCACTACCGGTAAACTATTCTCAATCTATACTTCGTTTTCTGAATAAAAACGGGTACCACAAAATTATCGCGAACTGAGCCTTTAATATAAATTTGATAAGCGACTAAAAAATCTGCACAAAAAATAAAATGAAGTGATAGTACAGTGCATACATCCTCACGTCTCTCATACCAACGAGCTGAAGCACGCTAATGCGTCCGCCGGAAAAATGTAAAGAAGGGAAAGAAAAGAGTTAGGAATTTCTGACCATAGCTCCACATAACTCGAACTACACCCAACCCACTGTAGTGGTGTTCCATTAGGTACACGATTCACAGATATTAAGCTGATCTTCCCTTACAGGGTGGGTACTACATATGATTCTAATCTCACTGCTGACGACATAGTGGAACTGCAAGGGAATCGAATGGAACGATGGCAGCAACGTTGGTTGGCAAGCTTTAGGAACATGCAAATGTCCAATTTGTAGTACATCAATCATATAAAGGCATTGTGGGGAACCAATAATGATCTGCATTACCTTCTCTGGAAGTGGAATGGAATGGGAAAAAATATATTCTAAAATAATCATCCAATCACATATCAAGGATCGTGAGGAGGCTTTTGAGGGGCAGGAGCCCGAAATCTTTTCTTTCCTTTTTCCTCCTCAAAGGTGTTCACTATTGTTCATTCATTGTTCTCATTCGGTGACTAAAAGAGAGCTTTCTCTTTTAGTCACCGAATGAGAACAATGAATGAACAATAGTGAACACCTTTGAGCCTATTACTGTTAAGCGAGGTATCATGATTTGACATAACATACGAAACTCCATACAGTTTGATTTACCAGAAAAAGGTCATGACCATGAAGTGTCCCTGTGTTTGAGTGTTACATATGTAATATTTTATATAATTTTGAGTGTTACATATGTAATATTTTATATAATAAGGATAAAATATATGTTATTTTACGAAATCCAATTTGATTGGGATGTTTTGGAAGTTCCCATAGAAATACTATGAAAAAACATCTCGAAACAAATCACCTTGGTCGATGGCTATGACCTCGAAACGGTACCACTTCGCGTCACCCAACTTCTCATTTACCGTGATCCTTCCATCGTGCTTGTTCAGCTTGAAGACTTTGGGGAGCGAGGCGCTGTGATAGCGTACGATCCCATTCATTCCTGAAGTAACAGTAACTGTGATTTGTTTTTTTTCGGCTTCATGTTTGGTTCATTGGTTTGAAAGAATAATTGTGATTCTTGCATTAGAACAAATAGTTTACTATCCAGAAGAACTGGTAATGCAGTAATGACACACAATGAAATAAAAATTTGGGAAGGACACGTGGGAAACTCTCGCATGGACAAGGAAGGGGTTGTCCGGCAAGGTCCACCTGATGTATCATACATTTGTATTTTAAGACTGTATCACACATTCTTCCAAACTTCGTAATTTGTCTTATTGTCGTTGATCCCATGGAATTCGTATGAGATCAATCTTGCCCACAATTTCTAAACGATTAAGCAAGACACCTGAGCACAGGTTAGATTCCCTTTATTCTGTGACTTGCTAAAGGTCCGTTCAACGCTTCCTACGCTTCATTTGATTCAATACGCAATCGGTATCTAACCAGGACATCAATGAAGTGAAATGACATCATCAACAACAACCATTCAAGTCAATATCAATTGGCGTGTAACAATAATCACTTTTACGACTGATATCGACGAAACTTGCACCCAAGTCAATCAGTAAATTTCAATTTTATCATTTTCTTTCTCCCAAATTTTAATCTCCGCGGATGAAGATAGATAGACTATGAGGACCTGATCAAGAGGCCTCAAATCTATATGGACTAGTTGGAACCGGTACCAGGCTGTGCTACTAAATACTGAACTAGTAGGACCTTAGAAAGCAGAGAAAATTCAGTTTTACTTGTATTCGCAAAATTAGGTGATGAAGAGTGTACAAAAAAACGCATCCCAGAAAACTTTCGAAAATTGCCAAGCCACTGACATTCCTTACGAGGAACAACGTTCTTTTTTTGCTACACGTAAACTCTTTCTCTATAAAAATACAGAGGAAATTTCTAGGCCGATTCACGAACTCGTACGCAAAAAAAAATTTGCAAAATCAAAAAATTTCCTGCAGAATCCATAGATTTTTGCTTGATACCCCATAAAAGTGGTGTTCCCTGCGTGCTATTTCCTATTATTATATTTTATTTCTCTTGTTTATAAAGCAGCAACCAAATGTGTCGGTTTGTCTGTCTGTCCGTCCGTCCGTGGAACTTCATGATTACTCTAAGGGTAGAGATATAAAGAACCAAGCCTTATTTTACATTTCCCCAACATGTAAAGCAGTTTGCTGGGAAAGTTTGTGGAGTGGAGTGAGTACTGCGGAGTGAAGTGAGTAAAACGGAGTGAAGCGGAGGCATCAAACTGTGATTTCGATCTATGAATATCTATACAAAAATCTGCGGTGAAATCGTAGTTAGTAGACCTCCGCTTTTCCCAACATTGAGCGCTAGAGCGCAATTATGTGGGTTAGCCTATAAATAAGCTTAGGAACCTTTCTTAGAATAGAACATACATTTTTTTCTGAGCTGTGCTTCAGGAGGCAAGTGGGTGAGTGAGTCAATTGAATATTCAACACTTACCTCATCCTGACTTGAAGTAAAATCAAAGTTGCACTAATTCTACCACATTTTGAGATCTTTTTTAACAAAAAAAAAACTTTTCACGAACCAATATCCTTATCAATTGCCTTCACAGCCAGAATCCTTTCGCCAATAACAGAATCGGAACTGACGACAACATCGTAGGGAAGTCCGACGAAGATCGGAGCACAATCGTTGATGTCATCAACTCGGATAGCGACGACGGTTTGAGCGAGTTGGGGTTTTACCTCGTGAGTTTGAGCCTGAAAGGAATTGTTCTCTTTCAAATCACTGCCCCACTCCCTGTGGTATATCAATCGAATTCTGTTTCCTGTCATCCTTAGACCAACAATTAAATATAATCAGACACTACCATCTTATCATTTTTACTGTTCTTAATTACAGACATACACAAATACGAACTGATCGCAAATCCTTGAGCGGCCTTGCAAAGGGCCTTTTTTTAAAAGAAGTCTTTTTTACACGGAGCTTTAGCACAGTTCAATGTAAACCTTTTATTAAGCTAACAACTAACTCATAGTCTTTTTGCCCCTTCAATGCTGCGATAATGGTGGAGAAGAGCTGGTGGACAACCCATGCACTAGCTCCCAAGAACCTTCTCAAAAAAGACTTCTACTACTTCTACCAGTGCTGCTATTTTTTTTCAAAGGTGGGCAGACGTCCATGAAGTAGGCCAAGCTCACGCAAATTTCCACTACGTACCTGGACAACATTGGGCACTTAGATTTAGGAAGTCTAAAATACTAACATTACAATAATTTGCAAGTCACTCCCATCAAAACTATTCTTTTCTCCCTATCCAAGAAGACAGTCTTTCTCATTCACAGTACAGCAAAGGAATGAGAACGAATTAAGGGTACCAACCTGCACGAGCAATCGAACAACTGGTTCCTCTTCTCTGTCGAAAGGCTTTCCAGTAAGTGAAATCATTCCGGTACTCTCATGGATGAACACTTCTTCCCGTTCATTCAGAATTCGATACGTCACGCTAGCTCCTTCTGGAGCTCCGACAGCAGTTACCTAAAAACCGATTTGAATAGATCAAAGATGCTAAAATGAATATTGAAATATAAGTATATCGGGTTGAAAAAGTCAGACAATTGGGTTATTTCCTTTTTTATAACAACCAGCTGCACCGCGAAGAATCCAAATTCCGAAATTCGCATGGGTCACTGTCGAATCGAAAAAATGGCGCAATAAAAAGCTCAAAGATGCATCGTGGACCATGGTCATATCCCATTCGGCTACAGGGCTGAGCTGTTTGGGTGAGATTAAGACTGTAGCCAGTTCATGGCATAGTCTTGATCTCTTTTAAGCATTATTTTCGCCACCATAAACCCATACAACCCCAAGTTAACTAGTTCTAAGAACTTTTACTTTCGCTAATTCCGAAGTTTCCGCTATGGATGTACTATTTTTTTTATCAAAACACCCGTTCCTCAACTCTTTTACACCTTCAAGCAGACGTAAAAGCTAGTAGAATGCTTCACACTTAATACATTAAGGATGTAGGCGGAACGCTGCCCATGTTAGAAAGAAGGATATCACCTCATAACATCAACAATCACCAACTCACCGCAATAAGAGATTCTCCAGGGGTGAATGTGGCATTCTCCTTGACGTTTGCTTGGTATTCAACTAGCGGGAAACGGAATCCACTCGCGTCCGTTGATATTTTTCGTACAGAAATTTCAACGGTTGCTGTGTCCGTGTGAACACCATCGCTCACCAGCACATCCATCTGAAACACAGCAATAGAAAAACAAGTTGGTGAGATTTATGCAGAAGCCTTCCAATTTCTTTCTGTTCGGTTTGCCTCCATGTCGGTTTGATCGTAAATTAGGGACGAAACAGAGAGCAAAATTGCGGAAGCACAAGAATCGCTAGTATCACTCTAGCACGACCATAGCATTGTGGTAATGCCCTTACACTACCATAAAAGCACCCAGAAGGTGCAGTCACAATCATCTAGAGGCAAGCAGGAGTCTCACTCAGAAGTGATCTCAAGATCTCTCCCGATGTAAACAAAGGGGACGACACGAGTCAGCAGCGGTTGTGGTACCATTTCAAAACTCACAATAAATTTGGGTATCAAGTTTAAGACCAATAACGGACACGGAGGACCTTAAACTTGGTCACACCGTCCCTAAATAGCCCCTGACCAATTTTTTAGAGGTTGGAACGTCTCTGAACAAAGCTATGTTTTTTAAGTGGAAAACGCCTTCCACTCGAGAGCACGCTACAGCCGTCGTAAGCGGGGTTGCGTCGAGTTTTCGAGCTTAATCATGGCTAAGATACCTTAAACCGTGCTCGTTACTTCGAATTTTCAGGTCCCACTTTCAATGGAATCGGCCCTATTCATTCAATAAGTACGGTCCAATTTGAGAACACACCACCCACCGCAGAAGGGTCTACTTCATTTCATTTGTTGCTCCATCCCTCATTTTTGGGATTTTTTTTTNAGACATACAGACAGACAGACAGACAGACAGACAGACAGACAGACAGACAGACAGACAGACAGACATACAGATATACAGACATAGAGACATACAGATATACAGACATACAGACAGACAGACATACATACATACATACATACAGACAGACAGACAGACAGACAGACAGACAGACAGACAGACGCTAGCGCTTTATATGTAGTAAGGGAAGGATGTCTACAGAAAAGGTCACGAATAAACGAAATCCATCAAACTGAAAAGACACCACGATGATATCGTCGTAGTCCGTTACCCAGGATTTCACACAGTAACCGTCGTCGAGACCGCTCCTTATGGGCTCCTTCAGAAGAATCAGTAGCACCCAGCGTCATCAGCGAAACTTCGTCGAAGGACTGCCCCTTTTCTGCTCAATGACCTCATTAAGGCTGACAACATCATCATTTCACCCTCATCATGGAGCAGATCGAGAACAGCGGCGTAACACCCTAGTCCATTAACTTTGTTCTAATCCGTTTGAAATATCCAGTTTTCTGATGACTATTGGAATCTGGTCCTTGATCCAATGGTACGAAACTCACCACATATTTGGCAAGATTCAACGATTTCGGATCTGACTTAAGAAGAGTGATGGAGCCATCGGTTGAATTCATCGAGAAAAACTTCGCGTGCGTGTTGCCCTGAAAACCTACATGTTAATGTCGCTACACAAGTTTGTTTACCCAACTGAATTGTCATTGAAAAGCACTGAGAACCTACAAAATAATGTTGCCGCAGGAGTTCCCTTCTGTGAAATTAATGAATAAATAATGCAACCAACCCACCTTGATCGCATAGCGCAGCTTTCCTACAGTATCTTCATCCACAGCCGCTGGGGCGGCCACGACTACGCCGGGTACTGTCGGCAGAATCAAATCAACTTCATATTTGGTTTTTGTGAAGGCTGGTTTTTGATCATTGGTGTCTAGCACTGTCACATGTACCACTGCGGGAATCGGGGATGATCGCACCGGCTCTCCCATATCGCTGAAAAAAGTTCTTACTGAAAGTACCTTAGAAAGCACATCCTTTTCATTTCATTTCATGTAAACTTAAACTAACCAATAAGGATCGAGCGAAACGACCAAATTCCTTCAAGATTGATCATTTGGAATTATTTGTCGGTAGGGCAAAGTCCCAGAGTAAATCGACACGAAATGATTGGTTAAAGTTCAAGTTCAACTGCATAATGTTGTCACCAAAGGCGCAGGTACGACTTCAGTCGCGACATAAGCGGGATGCAATGATAAAACGCACACGTTAGTACCATTTCCAATTAATTTCGCTTTTCTACAACTCACCAACCGATTACTGATTGATCAAAAACTTGAACACAAAAATGTTGAGATTTGAAAGCTCGGGCTCTAGCAAGACTAGGTAACTTTCAATCGAAAAAAAGTAGACAGCAAAGCTTTGCTTCTGATATTGCACCCCTATTTTGATGAGAGAATAAAATTTACCGAAAAATGGCAAATTCCATAAACAAAGTGGAAAAAAAAACATAAAACACAAAATTACCTGGCCTGTACGTGAAACGTCCACTCCTTCAGTTTTTCATAATCCAATGGCTTTCTCGAACGAATCGCTCCTGTCACAAAATCAACCACAAAGTACGGTTCGTTAGGATTGAGAAGACGGTAGCCGATCAGCGAGCTGGGACCAACATCCTTGTCTGTTGCAGAGACCAGAAGAGGAGTGTTATTGTCGAGCAGCACGGAGGAACCTTTAACAAATTGGTTTGTAGAATAGGAACTAAGCAACTTTAATCATAAAAAGAGTAAGAAATCATACGAATATTGGTAATAAAAAGAGAGGGAAAATAAAAGCGTAGAAGTCTGCGTCTGTGATAATCAACCCCGTTTCTGAAATGTGCCTCGCATTTGACTTCCTTCCAGGATAGTAGTGGCGGTTTGGATGTGTGCCCCCTAGATGAGTCCGGTACCAATTAACCAAGCAATTAGAGATAAAGGTTTCAGTGGCCTGAGTTCAAAACTCGATCTTCGTACCATGCGCGTATGCACCACTTGCCACTACAGCTTCTTGGCCCCCCAACAGCAAAAATAAAACGACTAACAAATAGGATCAACAATGGGAATAACAACTGAGAACTGACCACTCAGGCTGTTTTCCCGAATAAATCCTCTATAGAACTGCTGTTTGAAGATTGGTGAGTGCTGGTTAGTGCTGGCGATCTTTATTACAACCTTAAATTCATAAGGTTATTTGAATAACCTAAGCGACAGTCACAAGACTTCTATTGATGTTCCTTATTGAGACCCTGGCACATACAACCTCCATCCAATCCAAAAATCTGTTTACTGACCTTAGCAGTATCCTCCGATCCTGCCCGATTTTTCGCCACAGCCGTGCAGGCCACACTTTTGGCTCGCTCTTTGGTCAACCAGCGACTCAAGGACACCGCTCCAGAAGCCTAAAAATATACATCGAAATGACCCGATAGGGCATGGAGCCAACCTAACTCACCGGGTGAACATCGAAGTAAGGGCACGGCCGCTTTAAACTGTATCTTGCATTTCCGTTTGGGATGGTAGCAAGGGTCAGCAATACTGAACCCAATGGCACAGAATCACGGACAGTGCGTTGATATAAAGCTCTTGAGAAACGTAAATTCAGTTCATCCATAGCCATGCTCTGGATACGGACATTTGATGTGTCACTGAGGGGGTAACGACCGTGGTCAGTCGCCCGAACTGTCAATATGGTCTCCTTGTGTTCTGCAGGTAATCGTTTTGCAACAGCAATGACGCCAAGTATGGGATCGAGGGTAAATAAGCCCATTTGATTACCTAAAAAGGAAATCGGATTACTCAAAAAGCTTCTCAAAAAGACAATTTTGAATCGATTTCTATAAAAAAAAAAAGAAATTACCACTGATAATGCTATACTCCACCAGGCCGTTCTCACCAGAGTCGGCGTCATGGGCAAGTACTGTAGCAACCGAGGAACCCACAGGTGAACTGAAATATGGAATTAATAATGAAGTTACATAAAAAACAAATTGTTACGTATTCATACGACTGATTCGGGCTTGACGATGGGCATGAACTTATTGTGAGGAGAAAGCAGACTTCTGAGAGATATTTGGCAGGAAAGAGTGCACAACACAGCTAGCCTCACCTATGCTACGCGATAGATTTTGGAGTTGAACGACGACGAAACGACGACAGTAAACGAAAGAGTGCGATAGCAGCAAAATCAGCTATAGCACGCTCAATGGCTTCACACTATTCAATCTAGTTCAGCTTTTTTTTCAAAGCTGTTACTATTTTGTAGACGCGCAGGCGTAAATTACCGTTACGCCATGTATTGCAATGAGTCTTTTTTGAGCTACAATTTTTTAGATCATGTCGTAGGACATCTGCCTTGATAATAGTTGTGGTTCGAATAAAGTTCAAGCTTCTCGAGTGGAAATCCGACTAAACGAGAGCTATCCAAACCGGCAGCTAACACAGTCTCCATATGTGGCAACGAGATATCAAATGGTACATAATATACTATTCAATTTTTCACGATCTGTTTTGACCATTTCGATAGATGGTCCAACAGAATATGTCGTTTTTTTTTCAAGTTGATCTTCCATCAAGTATTAAGCCATCACGACTTTTCTGGAACAGATTTCCCCAAACATATGTAATACTTTGATGGAACTCCGAATTGCTACAAACTCTTTTCTACACTATCTCAATGCATCTTTCGCCTTACTTCTGTTTCCTTTTCAGACGAATTTCAGTTTACATTACGGAGGCAAGGAAATTCGGGAAAGATCCCGTCATCGTTCTTCGCCTTCAGTCGGTACCAACATCGGAAAGCTGCTTCCAATACTTGTGCGGTTTTTGTAGCAGATGCTCAAAGCAAGTTCCAGAGATAAGCTAGAAAATGCCTGACTGGTTGGAAAAATCGCCTTGGTTTAGGATGGCATCCTCTGACGGAAAACCAGTCTAGAAAAGGAGGGAGAAAGGGAAGAGGGCTGAGTAAGGAGGGAGAAAGGGAAGAGGGCTGAGTAAACGATGCATTACTGGGGATTTGGCTGAAGAAAGTAGAGATGGAGTTGATTGTCGTTCGCATTAATCTCTTCGGCACGATCTACCTCTGGCGAGCCTAGATGGAAGGTAAATAAAATGATGCGAAAAGAGCAATCTCAAAAGAAATCTCAAGTCAGAAAACGAGACAGCACTAATCTAGCAACCTTATAAAAGCAACAAGTACGGCAAACTCTGGGAAGTTGATCATAAAGCAAAAATGTAGAATGGGAGCATACACACCTCGATGGCAGAGCAACCACGTAGTCCTTGTGCGCAAATCTCGGGGCATTGTCGTTATCATCAGTTATTGTGACCGTCAGCGTCGCATAGCTGGTGAGTGTTCCTTGTCGGGCAAAGACAATCGCTCGAATCTCTCGACATACTTCATAATCTAGTGCTTCCATTACAAGTACACTTCCAGTTCTGGAATCGATCCCATCGTCTATAGCTGATCATTCAAGTAGCTGACCAACGATTACAATGTTAAAGACAGAAACTGAAAAATCGAATGAATTCAAACCCACGTCGGCTCGACACGGAGCTTATCCTCCATGCCAGTGTCTTCGACCGAGTGGACACCATACAACAATGGCTTTGACGAACGGGTCACACCACTGGATCTGGCGCGTACGGTATAAATTTGAGTGCCAACCGCCGTTTTTTCAGAGATTTGTGTCTTGTAGTGTTGAGCAGAAAAAATTGGTCGAGACAGTGGCGAACGAGACAATTCCACAGCCACCTGAAAGACCAAGAAAACGTTAACACCAAAAAACGAGTAGAGGTCTTTTATACAAAATATTCAACACTGCAAAAAGGACCTCTGTAATATCCTCCAACAGACCATCGCTTATTCGAATGCTCAGAACAATCGTACTCTCATTGTATGGTAGGTTTTCAATGGATTTCGCCAATTGCAAAAGACCGCTATCTGCTTTCAGAGAGAATGTCTCATTGATGTTGCCGCTGACTATACTCCACCATACAGCATCTCCATCAGGATCCACCGCCTCAAACTTGCCGATAGTGAAGCCTACCTAAAAGGAGAAGCAGTGTTCAAATACAAAGAACAGAGAAACAGAAAGTTCCTACCTGGTCTGCATCCGATACCCGGACCTTTCGAGACATTCCCTTTGCAAATTGAGGGGCCCGATTCACAGACCCTTTGGCTTTCACGGGTGCAGGGATAGCCGTCAAGATTGCTCGAGTTTGAGTCATTTGAGCTGGTGCGCCACGATCGGTTGCTTGGATCGTCAGAGTGGCAACCTTAACTTAGGCTTATCTGAATGTGTAATCCAACCTCCACCATTAGAATTCAGAATAACTTGAGCAAAACGAAATGAAAGACTAAAACCAAAAGCAACCTCATCAGGTTTCATTGGTGTACTGGTTGAGATGTATCCATTCTCATCAATCGAAAACTTTGGGTCTCCCTCGGTTATATTGTAGAACAACTCGGCATTCTTTCCCGAATCGATATCGTTGGCGAACACCCTGAAAGACTACAATTCATGGCGACGTGCTCCTTTAATGAGAAAATCCCTCACCTGCTCAATCTTCCCGCCACTCCTGCAGGTACATTATGATGGATGATCGGCTGAGTAAATGTGGGCGCATTGTCATTGACATCCTCTACCGTAACGACAACCGGAACCGAAGAGCATAGCTGGGGCTCTCCAGAGTCACAAACCGATACCCATAGCTCATGCTCACGTTGAGTTTCACGATCCAGACGGCGCGATCCAGATGTTGTTATGTATCCTGAAAAGGAACGATAAAGTAGTCATTCTTGGTGAGTCTGGGTAAGCCCAATCCATAATGGGATCATGGTACCCATCGGGCAACACGGAAATGGAATGTGTAACCCAGGTGCCTAACATCGCTGTCAGCTCTCCACATCTCATTACGTATAACACCCACCTGTATACTGATCTATCCGGAAAAAGCTTTGAGGATCTCCTTTGCTGATTTTGTAGTGCAGAGAGGACGGTGACTTTGGATCGATATCATCACCATCGGTCGCATCTATCTTCACAACGACTACATTCTGAAAATGATAACCCATGAAATGAATTCATAACAATAGAAGAAGAGGAATCGAAAGAAACTAAGAGGAACAGGAACGAAGAGGATCAGAGGAATAGACGGAATGAGAAGAACAGAGCTTTGCACCACCTATCAGCAGATACCGAAAAAATTATCAAGAGCAAAAGCAATTGAATGAATACGAAAGAACTTATGAAGAGAACTAACCTGAGGCGAATTCTCTTTCACATTTGCTTGATATATCGGAAGTACCGGTACTGGCCGATGGTCATTTCTATCCAGAACTCGAACAAAGACATGCAGCACTCCAGCCTTTGCCACTCGGGCTTGTGGACTGTCATTCGCTTCGACTGTCAACCAATAGGTGCTTTGTTGTTCACGATCCAAAACTTTTGACGTTCGTATTGTGCCTGAACAGTTCAAACATGATTCCACTGAATTTTTACTCGCAGTCGTTCCGAGGTTTCGATTAGATTCCGACCACGACGCGAGATTTGAGATCCCTTCAAGGAGAACAGATATGGAACAAAGATGCCTCGTCAACGGCCGTTGATTATTCACCAGTCACAAGGCATGATTAATTAGCTCGATGCAGGCCCGCTCTTTAGCAGCATCCCAAGATACCAAGTCAACACATTAGGAGATCGGATGCTAAGGGTCGACAAACAACACTTTCATGACTCAGTCCTCAGACATATCTCGGAGCAAACTTGAATTGGAGCGACTAAACTCGTGGTTACTTAGTTTCTCATATGGCGCACATGTAATAGGGAAAGCTGGTACGTGGTACATCAGGTGAACGATTCATTTTAGAAGATTCTGAACGCGAAAAAGCTCACAATGCATAACAAAAAGCGAAATGGTAGCAGAAACGCGTTCACGCTTTCAGGTTGCCTTTCACTGTCCTCCCTTTCATGATATTGGACAAAACCCTCTCCAAAGGCAACGCTTAATGGTATGCCTTAAAAAAGGCTCAGTCATTGTTAGCCCAGCCCACGTGCTCGCCTGAACATTAGTCAAAGAACCCGTCTTAAACAGCTTCACAGTACAGCGAGATCACAACCAATGGTTTGGTTTTCCCTCGTAGCCCAGTGGCCGAAAAGATGACGGATCAGCAGCACTGAACATCGCATTGTCTGACATATGAATGTCACACATTTCTACTTTTTTATTAGAGTGAACGAGCGCATATTTGTCAGTTCAAATTCCTTCGAAAAATGTCGTTCAGGTCTGCTCAGAAAAATCAAAACAAGGAATGACTGAGGGCAATTTCTGAGAGTTTCAGAAACCAAACAAATCCCTTCACTCCAATTATCTCTAATAATGGGACGTCGAAAAGCAGAATTCATATTTCTTCAGATCATATCGACGTTACGGAAAGAAGCAATGGCCAGGATAACAAGTGATACGGAATTATTGGCGTGCACTGCTATGCTTCATATCACCTTGACAAACTTTCAGGAAGCAGCACTTCGAGCTGCCAACTCAATGAAATCATCACCCACCAGATAGCTATTTGCTTCTAATATGCTCTCAAAGCCAAACCTTCCCTTCCTTTTGTCATGTGAAGTTTCTTTGTCTTAATTACCACGTTCGCAGTGTTATTGGTATACGTCCTAATCCTTGCTAAGCCAGCAAAATGTCTACGGCTACCCGGCTAATCTCCCATCTGGACTAACACTCAATCCCTAGTTCCTACTAGTTAAATTTTCGCCTCTAATAAACAGTGCTTTTACAAAAACTCGTCCCCAAGTAAATGTCCCCGTGGTTGCAGCTAAGCAGCCCTCAACCAGCACCTTCACATGCTCCATCTGCCACATTAGCTGCATCTTCCGAGCACATCAAAACAACCACCATCCAACACCCTAATTAAGTTGTCGTTTGGTCGAAGGTGGCTATCGATTAACGTCCTTACGAGGTCAGATGTCGCCTGTTAGTAATACCAAGAAGAGAAAACTGAAAAAAGTGACAGCGGTAGTCTAGGGCGACAGTAAAAAAGAAAACAGCTGGCATGCTTGGCGACAGAAATTTGATCCCGAGCCTGTAAAAAAAGAATCCAAAACTAATTTTATCAGAAACCAGGTAGTAAGCTCCAGCACTTGGAGAAAAGACTTTCTCATTCTCATATACAGGTCAAAATTCTTCTTAGTAAAAGACATCGACACACGTAATACGACAAAATCGAAAGAGAACGCTTCAAATTAGCATCTCTTCCACAATCCTTTCTTCCAACAGTAGGTCCTTGAATCCTGGGAACAAATCCCCGCCCTTGCGAACATAATTCTGTTCGTGAAGGAACCCTCAACTGTGTCACCATTGCTAGCCTTCACTCTACAGACAAAGGCCTCAATTATAGTTCGCAGTGCAACGGACTGAACATAGAGGTTTGAGACTTGAATGCTGACTTTAAACTCAACGACGACATGAAATTACTCAAAAGCACTGGAATTAGGAAAATCACAACTTCCGAAACTCTGGAAAGTCTTTGGATTCTTTCGTTAGGTTTCAAAAAGAGCTAAATGCTAGTCCAACAGATGCTTACCCATCCGCAAAGAGAGGAAGAAAACGAGTTCAGCCCACAGAGCCCTTTCCCGATAACATTTTCTTACAACCCACTCCAAACATTATCAAAGACTAGATCCATTTTCTTGCAGACGACTAACTCCTGGCGTACTTATTCAAAGAAGATATGTCCAGGCTCACCTCGGGAGTTCGACCCGGGAAGACCGCCATTAGATCCACATTCACAAGCCTTGATAGATGTGCACTTCAACAAAAATAAACCAATCGAAAAATGTGTCCACCCCTGCGGGTAAGACGAAATGTGCAATTTCAGACTCTGAAGGTATGAATATGTCAGTGACGTGAAAGAATCAGCCCAACTATCCTCACCCTTCATCTAGGACTCAAAGCTCACCTTTCCTTTCTAAACACAGCAATATATATTTTTCGAGCACTACCCTTGCCCAAAAATACTGCTATGTAAATTTGTGACCAAATTCACCTGCACCCTTCGCATCCCTCATTAGCATACCCCTTCGGAGCACTCAAAAACAAGAATTCAAATTCAGCAGTATTCGTAATTACGCGGAGAGATCTCTTCAAAATTAGGTTATCTTTGGAGGTCCATCGGCTTTTCAGTATACTCAAAGCTAGAACTTTAATCAGTCCTGAAGCAGAATGAGTAATAACATGACTGAATCTCATAGCTTGAGGACTAGGATTGAAGGATGGGAACAAAAGCGAAAGTGGTGAGAGCAAACGCTGAGGATCTCCTCTTGCAGAAGAGATTATTCATTACAATACTGAAGGAGAATTTGTTATAACCACCAAAACTCCCAACTCCACGACCACAACAATTCATAAAACCCAGTCCCCAGATTATTCTCTAGTGGTCCGCACATGCTATATCTTGCCACTCTTTCCCGACACCTGCTAGCGATTTATTCGAAACAGAAAGACGAATACCAATTCCCCAGTCTCCAATCTCAACGTCTCATCTCTTCTTGAGAGAGGCAGACTTCATCAGTCATTGACTTCAAACCACTGCCATTGTAAATGCGAGGAGATCCATCCCACACTAGGTCGGACTATTAATGAGTTCCGTTGTTGGTGTCAAGTCTCAAGTGATCCCTTCGGAATGAATTCTGTCGTCTGCCCAAGTGCACAAACAAATGTATACTCGAAACTCAGCGAGGGAAAGCCCTGGGTTTGAGAAAAATAACATTTTCCTTATTCGGCTGGTTTGCTGACCCTATACGTCCTGAGGTGAGGTTTAGGAAAAACCGATTCCCCCGTAACCATGACATCTGCGAATAGGCCGTTGAGCCCAGTAACTTAACGATATTGAGTATCCCAGTTTTCGACTTTTCACTAATTTCTCTTGTATGATAGCCGAAATAGGCTCCCGACTGCCCTACATTTGGCTGGAAAGGACTCGATTTTAGGTCAAGCCAAATCTCTTGTGGTCTTAACTGGAAATCAGTATGAATAACAAAGACGACAAGAAACAATTCACTTTCGATTCGGAATTTCATTCTAGATTGGCTCTCCACCCCTTCTAGAGGTATCTGTTCAGATTTTACGCTTACAAATGCTATTTCGTAACCATTCCCTATGAATCACAGACGAGACCGTATCACACACTGATCGACAGCTGAACAGACACAATTTTCGAAAAAAAAAACCAAACAAAAAAAAACAAAAAAATCTCAGGTAAAAATAACTCCAGTGAACCATAAAAAAGCAGAAGTTTAAGCAGGCGACAACCCCAACATCATTCCAACCGGAAATAGTACTTCTTCCTACTACTCATCAAACGACCATAATTATCATTCGTATGAACTTAGTTTTCCGGCTGACTTGCATCTCGGTTTTCTAGGCTGCGCTACCTTCATTCTACCGCTACTGCGATACTTTCACTCAGGCAGTAGTAAGCCCTGTAAGAGGACAAGAGCCTACAATAAATAAACACCGATTCACCTGAGCTGTCTATGGCAAAGAATGCCATGCCACTCCCTCCAACAATATTGTAATCGAGCAATGCTGATGGATTATCTGGATCCAACGCCTTTACTGCTAGGACATCAGTACCAATAGGCATGTTCTCTGAAAAAGATGGTGATTTTTTTTCTATTTCCATGAAACGCTCACTCAATTCCCTACCATAAACGCTAGCCTCCAGAGCAATGTCGTCGAACTCAGGAGGATGCAAATTCTCATCCACGTCCTCCAGTTCAACAACGAACGAACAGTTGGTGCTCAAAACCGTCTCACCATTGTCACCCACCTAAAAACACAATTCATTGACACTGTGACTAAATCATCGAAATGAAAATCACTTCAGAACTGAAACTCAAGTAAAGCTCGAGATTTCGCAACAACGCCACTCACTCTAGGTGGGTATTAGGAATCATTTCACCTCGTTGAAGGAAACTATCCATTCCACGCTAAACTGCCTAGCTATTTGTCTCAAGCTAAAGAAGACAAATAGTCATTTTGGATGCGAATTATCGCCTCAACATCGTGTTTTCGTCAGTCCATATACATAGCGGTCCTTTTATGTATACAACCCAGGTTATGAAATGGTGTTTTGAGGGGGTTGGGTGTAGATAGTTGGCAGAATGCAACGGTCTACACCCGACTCCCTAATAACCTCGTAGCTACCTGATAACGATTGATAATAGGTGGTAATAGGCTTTAGAATACAAAAACTACAGAGCCACGTCCTTCTTTCATATTTACAAAGGAGCGTTATTACTCTAACGGGTGGTGTAAGGAGTGGTAAGGAGTGGTAGCAAGTGATAAAAGGAGGTCAACAGCTGATACCAACTAATACCCTCATACCTCTCGTGCCTGCGTTATGTCTTGACCTTTTAATGTTAACGTGCGATAAAAAGGAATTATCAGTCAAGGAGAAAAAAGTATGATAAAAATAGTCAGAAACGATACTACAGAGGATCACAAAACCATAATAATTATTCCTTGCTATTGGACTACGAACACTACATCGAGAGACTGCAAAGACGTTTTCGCAAAAAAAATCTCCACTCTCACAAACCTTTACGAATCCCAAGGTGTGTATCACGAAAGAAGGACCAGAACTTTTGTACCGTTGTAATGTGTTACTATCAGTCGACATCATTGAAAAGTACTATTAAGGAGTTTTCCGATTAATGATTAGCTATGGAAGGGTCCGGGCAGAATGTCTAAAGTTTGAACATATTAGGATCCCTAAGCACCCATCCTCTTCTCAAACAGATTAGATCCAAACCCGAACAAACAACAGCTTTGAATGACTTACATCAATTGACAAATTGTAGATAGATCGTCGCTGGAAATCAAGTGGTTGATGTGGCGAATGGATGAATACACAGCCGCTATGATGATCAATTCTGAACGGAGGAGCGATGCCATTTTCTTCGGCTTCAATGGAGAACCGTAGACGAGCATTCTGTCCGACATCGGGATCATATGCCGTCAGACATCCAACCATTGCGCCATCCGGGTAGTCTTCAGGGATTCGCACCTGAAATTTGTATAGAAGGTTAATTGCAATATTTTCTTTATGTAAATTTGAAAGTTCCTACGATTTCGCTCAGACCGTAATACAAATAACCTCCTATCACTGGGTCGTATCTTTTGATCTCTATCTGGAACTTTGAAAACCCTTCAACTCTTTCGTCATTCTCTTACCGCAAATAATAGCCAAAAAACATTAACCAAAGGAGTCTCGAAGCTACTTTCTCAGAATCTGGTCTCTTCGAAACAGTGGAGAGACTGCTATGTGCGTTTCCCGACCGAGAGACCGAGTTCCCAACTCGTCATTGGGCAGCAATGTGGATATCAGACAGATGTGGAAGGATAAAAAGGACAAACTCGTGCATCAACTGCTCCGGCTGGTTATTGATGAACTAAGTGCATATGCAAATTTTGCCACATTCTTTGCCAAGATACACTCACCAGGGGAGTCTCAGCGAGCCCAAAACCTTACACAAAAAGGAGGAGAAAACCTCATACGCTTCACTTTTGAACTTAACGCTTGGAACAATGGATTGCCCGAAACTGCTTTGTATTATCAAAACAGACAGTAATTAAAGAGTGAAATTCCTCTACGATTCCGAATTACTATTATACTTGATAACTACTCACTACGGTCACAGGTTCGATACAGTACGGCGCATTATCGTTGACATCATCCACTTCGATCGTCAGATTTACGGCCGATATTTGAGAAGGCGAACCATGATCAAATGCGATTACCGCATAGCTGCAAATGATGTAATAAAGAACCTGAACTCCCTCAAAAGAATGAGCCCGGTAAATTGTTCTCAACAAATGGACCAAAAAAAGTTTTACCCACCGGAGGACGTCATTTGTCTCACGATCCAGTGGTCGGGCCAGGGTGAGCTCACCGCTGATTTCGTCTATTCGTACGAAGCCACCCTGGCCTCCAGCTAGCCGATATCCAACCTTTCCGTTCTCATCCCCATCATCGTCAGTCGCTGTCAACTTCAACAGAACCGTACCGACTTTTGTGTCCTCACTGACATGAAATCGATACCAGTGCTGTAATTGTGGATCAATTGTTCCCAATGAATAAATTAACTGCAAGGAACTAAGGAGGCTCGTATTCCTGCCATGATTTCTATAGTAAACAAATTTTTCACGATTTGTCGAACAATTCTTTTTTTCACTTCCATTTCCTATTAAAATACGATTTTCATATTATGTAAAATCAGAAGTGGACAGAGAGAGACCTCAAAGTTGAACAATGGTGTCTTCTGAAACTTGCTGAAAATGGCAGGGTGCAGAGAGATCGTAAAGTGGGAAATCATAGCGTTGGGCATATAATACTCAGGTACTCAGCTTGAAAGATTCTAGCCCATCACCCTATCACGACTATGCTCCACTTGCTCCCAATCGGAAACAGTTGCTTGCCCGACTGACAAATTCCTTCCGGCGATTCTTCCGCAAATCTTCCCATATACGTGCTCCCCACCTAGAAACCTATGAAAATGCACAATGAATCAATCCCAAGCAGTGAACCAAGACCTTCAGTTTCCCTAGTCTTAATGTACCACATCACAAGGGCAATACAATCCAAACGGAATCTAACCCCTATTAAATATTTTGCCAAAAATCGACGCCCTTTTCCGCGAATACTCCCTGCCCTTCTAAGAATATTATAAGTCCCGACTCAAGCTACGCGAATGCCCATGAACGTCTAAGAGATTCATTGTGTGTGCCTTATCCGGCGAGAAATCGCCTAATCCCTTCCCACTAGCATCGTACATCAAATCAGCCGGACTCGGCGCCGCGGCCAATGAATGACAATGTCCTCTACAACACCCTCGTCTTTCAAGAGGAATACCCATTGAGTTTCCAATCTTATCCACGACTGCTACACAACTCCAACATAATTCTGTCCCAATTCTCAAGGATGGGTCAAAATGAAGCCTTGCCAAAACTGCTCTTATCCCCACTCATCTTGAATAGATGAGAGTAGAAAAAAGTCGAATAACACCCAGTTTTTTCAGTCAATAGTTGCACCGACTGACCGTAGAGGGCCACATCAATATGCTCATTAAATCTCTATGTCCTGAAGTACAAATATTGCTTTCTTTTATACGAAGTATCGAACCTACAAACCCTGCTGGCTTCCGAAGGTCCACTCTCGGTCCTTGGTATCCGAAATTCGTGGTAGGTCCGACATTATTCACCCTCACTTTTTATCGTCTGTTGCAGTCTATTTGATTCAAATCCATCACTATCACGAACTTCGCCTCTAAAGCCACTAGGCCACCCAGCTGATGGATGATACTCTCGCTTGGATTACCCAACGTCAGCTACGAAGCACATAGTAAGACTACAGCAGTTTTTTCCCGAAACAAAAACATGACACTAAATTGCACTGAAGAAATTCGACCTTACTTGTTTTCCTTGAACAGGTACGATCGCAATGGAATATTTAACAAACGATTAGGGTCCTTTTTCATACTGAGAGATATCAATTGTTACTCTTACATTATATCAGAATATTAACATTACTCGGATAATGAGCGAGTATCGTTCCAGACATTCCTTACTCATCTTGTCTCAGACTGCTTCCCCACATACTTTACGTTGTGATTGAGTACCTGAGACTCTCGACCTCTCTGGGCATGCCCACTGAGCCGTTCCATTAGCTAATTACGCTCAAGGTAAGGTGGAGTGCATAGTTACCTCTTATTTGTCATGCGGCAAGCCCGAGCGAGGAAGCCTAGCTCATAAGAACGCATTAGGGGAGAAAACGGAGAAAGTCAATGGTTGTGGAGGAGAAAAGAGAAGAAGGGATGCCCACTCAAAGTACATGTTTAGGAAATTTGTCATTTTTTCTGTCAACTGATTCGGACACGATAACGGGAAATTTCGAAGGAAAACGACTTCATGGCTTCAAAAGGACCTTTCATGGATGTTTAAATAACCATAAAACTGACCTCTTGAAACTGTGGCGCATTGTTGTTAACATCTCTGATTATAAACTTGGTAGTCGTTTTTGAACTTTTCCGAGGTGATCCTTCATCAAAAGCAAAAACTTCCAGGTCATGAGGAACAGATGCAGCGTTTGGTGGTAGCAGCTCGCTGAGATCGCCGGCAACTCTTATAACTCCGGTCTCAGAGTCGATAGAAAAGTGATCGTCCCACAACGAATAACGAACCAAACCACCATAACCAACATCCATATCCGTAGCCGAAATAGCTGAGATTGCCTGAAAAAAACCTTGTTCAATGGTAGCAAAGCGGAATACTAGTAGCTTAGACCCGATAGAGTTTATTGTTGAGAAACTTCATGTCCCGTCTCCGATGCAGGAATCTCCCAATACAAAAATATCGAACCAGATTATTTGCAAAAAACCATTCGTAAATGCACTACTGCACATTAACGGCAATTTCAAACACTCATAAATCATCCTCAAAAGAGAGTTGGCTCTACGCTTTCGCATCATTAACTGCCTGGACGCTTTCCACCTTCATATTTCAGTGAGGAAATTGGTTTGGGAAAGTTGAATGATGACGAAAGTTCGTTAAATCGAAATGAGTATGAAACCGGCTTTTCCTTCTACAAGAATACTTCATCTACTATTTATCCCACATACCCTGAAGATAAGAAAAACTGTTCCAAGCTGCACTGAACACCCAAACCATTCCCTCTAAACTAACTCTGACCAATTAATCCAGTTGCGCCCAAACTCTGAATCCCATCCCATTCAGAAATCATCCCCATTCTCCTCATACAATGGTAACACTTTCTCGATGGCTACTTGACCCAATGCTCATCTTGTGCATGAACGCAATATAACTGACGGGGCGCCCCGCTTGTTACTATTCCTCTTACCATCTGTCGCCCCTGTCTAACAATACCCGATGGCCGGGTCAGGTCGGGTGATTCGGGCAGAGACTAGTCATTTATTACGTGGAAGAACCCACCGTTCCAACCGCTGCATCCTCTTCAACCTCCACGGGTCCGTGGAAATCCTCGAACACAGGCTCGTGCTTGTTTGCGGGTTCACTTCCAATGACTGGTTTGGGTTTTGCTGGTATCTAAACATTCAGAACTAGTTAAATGGCTAGCGTTACAGTTCTTGTGAACAGAATTAACGATAACTGGCCTAGAAAAGCATGCAGTTAGCATGCAGTTATCAGGGTCTGAGATTCAACAAATGTATGGAATGATAGAGTCGATGATGTAAATCAATCCATTTTCAAATGCGCCCGTCATTCGAATCCCGTTTAGATCCGCAGTGGCGCTTTGAATGCGTATGCGACCTATACAATAACTAGCAGTGGCCAGCAGCTGTACACGCTAGTACTTTTTATTTTCCCAGACGAGTTTGGTACACAACTCAATCAGGAACCATGGACGGCTTGGTTGGGGTGGGCAAGTAGAGGCTCGGGGTTCGATCTACGGACCATGCGTGTGTGATGGTGCGCTCTTGCCACTATACCTTCGGCCTCTTTTTTTTTGCAACAAGCATGCCCTAACTCTTAAGAATTAGAGAAGAGGCTGGAAAAATCTAATGCCTTGAAAACAGCAGTAACACCATCTCACCTTCGTTCCGTTTCGGTAAAAAACCAGATTCAGCACAGTCGATCTCGGCAAAGGTCGCCCGCTATCCACTGCCCATACAGCCACACGCCATTCATTATCACCTGTCTTCAATGGAGCCGACAAAGAAATCTGAAAGAGTTGTCGGCTAATCGAGAAAACACGGAAGGAATGAACATTAAAATTGTAGATGTCTGCATCAGCGTACAAATTACCTCGCCAGTTTCAAAGTTGACAGCAAATGGAACTTGAGAATCCGACGATAATTTATAACCCAGACGTGCATTCTCACCGGAATCCAAATCGATTGCGTCAACCTAAAGAAAGACAGTACGGCAATTAGGTCATCTCCCTTCATGACAATATACTACACCAAAAAGTTGAGCAAATAATGAGCGGATCACCTTTAGTATCACTGTACCGACGGCAGTTCCGTTAGAGATCGCAATCGGACCCTGGCGATTCCATTTAGCAGCCCATACCGGTGAATGATCATTCGAATCCTTTATGAGTACCGTCACAACTATTGAACTCTGGCCACCAAAACCAGCGAGCTGAACAGATGTCGCTCAATCGATTGTTTTGCTTATGACAACAAAGATATAAGGAGTGCGAAAGGGAGTAAAATTCGATTAAGCCCAGAGGACCGAAAAAAAAAACATTCCGAGGGATAACGTAAGTAAAACGAACTTTTGCCAGTATATTGAAGGTATAGTCCCTTTGCTTCTCGTAGTCTAACAGTTGAGCGACCCGTAATACTCCAGTCTTTTCGGAAACTTCAAAGGGCACTGTGGCATTGTCACTCATTTCCAGATAGTACCTGAATACCAATCGTTTAAACCCAGAAAACTCTTCGTTAAATTGGCCGGTAGGCCGAATTAAAGCCACCTAATATCTTTCTCGTCCTGTTTGTAGAGTGCGCTAGCTGACACTTTTCCAATAACGTAACCAAGCGGAGAGGATTCGTTCACATGGAAGGTGGCCGCGGCATGTTCGAAAGCGATCGAATGCGGCTCGCCAACTTCGATCTTAAACACCATCGAGTAATCAAAAAGTCATAGCAAACACAACACTCGACCACAGCAAACTCTAGTCACTCTTATATTCGCCGTCGTGTTGACCATGCCACTTGAGGGCGACTCTTGTCCAGCCGATATGGTAACATTTGTTTTCGACGGGATGAAGCGACCTGGTACCTGTAATTGATATGCACGCAATTAAAAAATAAAAAAGGAGCTTAAACATATTTAAGGGAGGGACCAGAGAACTCAACAAAACGGTGCGATTACCAGACCATCCAAAAAAACAAAAAAAAAACAAGGTCTATAACGGAATTTTACTCACAGTATACAACTGCCATTCCAAACTCCCACTTTCCACCAAAGAAAACCAGTGCTTCAGGTCGTCTTCAACAACACCGACATGAATCGGCCCATTTGATAATGCCTCATTTGACGAAATATCCACCCGGATGGTTGCAGCCAATTGCTGAACGTCTGACCGGTAACCGTTTATGGGCTTGTTGGCCACCAAAAGTTTCAGATGACGCCGTTTCGTTTCGGTTACTGTGATCTGAAATGAAAAATCATCTTTATCAGAAATTGCAAGAAAGGCAAAACACTCGACGCACCACCACATCCTTCGACCATGCAGGTTGAATCTGGTCGGCATCATCATAAAACAGCCGCGAAGTTCGATCTTCAGAACGCACTTTCAGTTTGTAAGTCCCACTCCGAAGATGTCGCAACGTTCGAATCCAACCTGATATGATAGAATATCAAAAACCATAAAGCCTGGATGGAAATTCGAAGTTACCTGATATAGGATCAACCGTGAAATCACTTGAGCGATTCACTAACGAGTAGTAGATCTGACCGTTGATACCCTCATCTGCATCAGATGCTTCTACACGGATCACATCCGAGAATGGAGCGGTCTACAACGATAGATTATAGTAAGCTTAAGTAGCCAAATCCTAGTAAACCTGAAGCTCGTCCATACTTGATCGCTAATTGTCGCCTCGTATTGGTCTGCTTCAAGTGTGAAAATTGGCATCGCGTCATTACGATCGGTTATGGTCAGATGAACTCTCGCTGTCGCCTCCAAATTACCGGCTTCCTTCTGGCGGCACGTGGCTTTTACCAGAAATTCGTAATGATCCTAGAAAAACTCCTTAATTAAGATCAACAAACGCTGTGCTTTTTAAGGATGGTGAGTATTTCTTTTCGATTGTTTCCAACTTATACAGATCCAAATTCGAGTCATCGGAAAAGAAGAATTTACAATTAGGAAAGGATACGAGTCGAGTTTCAAAAAAAGGTGTTCCAGCAAAACTTCGAGGTGAAAGGGTAAGAAACACGAGCTCGAAAAAAGGCGTTCAGAAAGATATGTAAACGAAAGCTTAAATTACAAATACCAATCTCTTGTTCTGTTGAATTCTTTGGAACCAAAATTCCATAAAACAAACAAGAAAACAAGAGCCAAGACATCAATGCAATAAAATAGCCCTAAGGCAACATCAACTCTCCCACCTTCAACTCTCTGTTCAACGGCGTGTCCATACGATCTTTCTGCCGTATACGCAAAAACACGAAATCTCCCACTTGACGGGAATGTGCTTTAAAGTGATGATGTCTATCTCCCTGGAACAATAGTTAATTGTGATACATTGAAAGTTATTCACCTACGATGGAATCAAAAAATGAAAAAAAATAAACATAAATAAATAAAATAATAACATGAAAGTACCTCCACGATTTTAAACTTGACAGTTGCATCACTATGAGGTAACGGAACGCCGATACGGATATGATCGGATGATCGGGCGAATTCCGTTCCCGGAGCATTCTCTTCTAGCGAAATATTATACAGTTTGGCAGTGAATACGAACGGAATTTGTACAAGTGAATGTTGTCGAGCAAATAATGGCCCTAAACCTAATGCTACTAAATGTAGCAGTAGGAATAGGTGATTATGCCTCTTCATCTCTAAGCCGCAATCATCGTCGTCCGTTTTTCTTTTGCATTTAGTAAAGAGATGCTCCGATTATATAATCATCGACCTGGAAGAAGTCTTAAGCTACAACTTTGAATTTCCGAGGCATAAAGCGAGTTACGAACGAACAGAACCGAACATTATTATGTCAACGATATTTTACATTTTTGCGACAAGTAAAATAATAAGTAATAAAAATGACCGTATATCAATTATTGGCCATAGACGCACGCGCTGGACAATTTGGCCCATTTTGGACGACAATGTTTAATGGGTAAGGCCATTCAGTCACCTTGAAGGTTTCTTTTTTGCAGAATTTCAGTTTTTCGGAGGATGGCACTGAGCTCAAGAGAAAGTAGGTGAGCAAAAGCCAAAAAAGACAACTTTAGCCATGGCTCGAAACATTTCTCGTCGGACTTAAACCCAATTAGGGACAACCGACGCGAGCGCACACGGAGAAGCATCCAAGGGTCAGCAGTAACGTTCCCGAGGGAAACGCGCGTTGTCGTTCCTCATCCACTCAAATGCTGCGACACTCACGCTATATGTACGCATTCAGAGCGAACAAAAAGCATTTGAAAGTGCTCAGCCCTTGTACTTTCCTCAAAACAATAGGTGACCCGTTGGTAATTCATGAGCTCGTCACATGAATGCAGCCAGGGGCAACACGCATGTCACAAGAAGATCACTATAATTTGCATAGTTGAAGAGCGGGCGAACACCTGTACCAAAGAGAAAAGCCGACACCGCCAGCGCCATTACCAGCCAGAGTAAACACTAGCGAAAGCTTGGTCTGAAGTGTTGTGTTAATGTCATAGAATGAAACCAATATGCGCAAATTTTGGCATTACGATACTGGCATTAGTAATCCACTCCAACCACCAGCGGTCTCCGGTCAACAACAACATGCAAGAAGTAGTCCTGCACAAGCCATAGAGCAGTACGCATGAATGGAATCCAATTCTACATGAGATTAATTGAATATTACAGGGTAAGGATCGCCATCTGACTCATTTCAACAAGCTTATAAGTGAGCACTTCAATTCTTTTCAAGTTCTCCGATGACTACATGAAAAAGCTGCATAGAAGACAAAGCAATTGTGACAAACTAATCGAATTCTTCAAGCCCCATCATGAGGGTGAACCGGTGGAAAAGGCCCAAACACATCCAGATTCTTCGTTTCACAAGAGAGGGCTACGTATATCCATCAGATTAACGCACGTTCTTTTTCGAGTGGCTGTGGCTTTCAAGACGTAAAATGAAATTAAGGAATCAAGAGATTCAACAGGAGCTCAGATCTGAAACCCCCTGAGTAAAGATCTGAGAAAATCTCTAAGGATGAAACTACGGCTTCTTGGATGCGGAATGAGAAGACACGCTCATTAATGTGCAAAAACGAGAGCTCATGAATGAATGAGCAAAGAAACTTCGTGAAGCAAAACACACAACAAAAACACGGAGAAAAAAAAATAACAATTACTATGAAGGTACATATAGGAAAGGCGAGAGCCATGGTCTTTTGAATCGAATTGGTCTCGAACTAATGTGATCTTTTACCATCTCACAGATGGTCCAACGAGCGTCCAGGTGTGGCATTTCACGGAACCTATGAATAACGCTCAGCCTGCGAATTAGACTTTTAACGAATCCAATCAGCACAAATTCAGATTAAGCGTGAAGTCTAGGATTCGAAAAAAAAACCAATAAGGAATTCTGCGAGCTGAAGAAAATCGACGCTGGCTTTCATTCTCTCTAGCGAAATTCATTCGCCAGCTGCCACAGTGAATTATCGTGAACTTCTCAGATAGATCGAGGTTTTGAAGAAAAGCATAATCAGGGAACTCTCGAAGGGTTCGAGTAGACCCCTTTTCCTATATCGATTCCTGACTTTGATCCAGGGTCACTTTGTGTGATGGAAACTGCGCCAGTCAAGTGGCATTAGTTCGATTGGGGAAAAATGATCGTTTTTGTTAAAAGCCAAAAGTGGTCGTATATTATAAACGTTTGATCGATTTCATGGGTTCCTAGCGTGTTCAGCGTTTATAGTACTTCCTTCGAAGCAGACTCACCCATCTCTTCTCCGACTGGGTACTTTTCTGCGACCCAAGGCATAACCCTAAAGACAAAAGTCGCGATGGTACTGGCTCTGACCATTTCGTGATGTCGGGAAAATTTCACCTCTGAGGAATGACGCACCACGAGAAAAGGTCTTGAAGCAAAGGGGCCTTGGAATTTGATGCCCTAAATGAAAAACTGACTGATGGGCCATCGGCAGAAATATGTTACGCCGCAGGAATTCGCGTAGAAGTACCGCTAGCACTCAGGGGCAAAAATGTGCAATTGGCTGTAAGTGAGTAATTTATTCGAAAGTTCATTCCTTCAAATGATCAAAAAGGATCCGTTCTATCAAATATTATCGAACGATTTCCCACTGAAAGAGCGTAAACGAGAGAAAGTAGATGTGTGCTCTGTGAAAGGTGAGGAACTGCTGCGTTTTTTTTTTCTTTGCCACTAATATGGTGTTCAAAATAAATGCGAACAGTCTTTTCCACAACAGAGAGGATAAACTAATTGCAGCAATTATGATTCCGCAATCTATTGTTGTAAGATGTAATGTATGGTGCTTTACCGGAAGTTTGATGTGACTAAACTTTGACGCCACTTTGTTTTCAGTTCATACTGCACTGGGTCCTTTCGCTGTCAGACCTATACCCCATAAACTTCGTAACTATCTTCCATTCCGTACAGTCTGATGGGAATTCACAAGGTTATCCTGACCCAGCGGGAGAAATGGCCGCTCACTGACCCGACTTTGACACCTGGCGCTTGGGGCGGAGATAACGGCGATACTGGCGAGAACAAAAAGAACAACGAAAGTTTAAGACAAAACTAGGCGCGCCCGTCACCTCGCGATCCGACGTGAATAATTAAAGGGGAAGAGAATAAATCAAAGTTATTCCATGAGCAAAATCGCCACAGACAAAGCCATCAAATGCTCGTTGTTTAAGAAGAAGTAGAACATCGGGGTAATATGCAAATCACATCAGTCGGTGTATGTGTGTCGACCTCAAACTGTCAAAAGGATGACAGAGGGCACCGAGGGTTTTCTTCGAGCACCGACGAAAACCATAAAGCGAATGTGCTCTATCGAAACTCACAATCAAGACTAATGATAATGGAATAACGACCATGTTTCACGGAACGTGAACCTTTGCTATTTTACTGTTATTATGTGCTTCTGTACCGAAGGGTTTTTGTCATGGGGCGAGTACTTCGTTAGGAAATAAGCGTCTGATAGCGTTCCAAAGCTTCATGGGACACCACCACCATGCAGACCGATCCTTAAATGGTTGTAACTGTAACCGGGACCAACGATCTTCAAACACCGTAGGGACCCGGCAATGAGTCAACGGGTCGCTCATGTCAATTTCACCAACATCGAGCGCTTGCTCAGTTTCGGAGCCTGTGTCACTTGCTCCATTGTCTCGAACGGAGCAAGCGTTCAGTGTTTGCGGAGTTGATGTGAGTAGCCAGTTTTTTTTTTGTATTCAAGCTCTGTTTGAAGTTCGATTGTCCGAATTTCGACTATTTAACATTGATTAGCGTAGCAAGCGTGGTAGACAAAATTCCAGGGACTTCTAAAATTGTTTCAAAAAAAGATGAAAAAAAAGTGGGCAGATCCATTTTTTTGAAACTTCCGAAAAACGAAAAACCATTCTGAAAACTGTAATCTGAGTATAGCGGTATTCAAAGTGAGCAGGATAAGCAACGAGAAGCCGGAGAACGCACCTCTTCTGCAAGAGCTTCTTTTTCTAACAAACAGAGAAACGAGTTTTTTAGGAGCTAATATCATTGAACAACATGACATTTCAGAAGAAAAAACAGCGAAATCGGGATAAGTCAAGCCATTAAACTGTCAAGCTTTTGCTCTGGACATTCTCGAGACGCCATTGAAGGAACTCGAACAGCTGTTCTCAGAAAGGAGGAGAGGGGAAAGTAGCTGATTAGGATATCCATTCATCTTGACCCATCTCTTGTAATCATTAACTCTCTTCTCTTTTGATCATGACGCATCACCACATCTCAATGAAGCGGGGAGCCACTCAGTAGATTGGATGTTGCATCTCTCTCAACATCATTCGAACCTCATCTACACACCCTTTAACCCTCTTCCTTCCCTCCATGACATAATGCCCAAACCCAACTGCAATGCATTCATCCTCGTTTTCGGACGGAGAATCACACCGAGGCTTGTTCAAGCCAGCCAGGGACATTTCCAAAGGTTTATAGGCTGGCTGGCTATCCCAAAAAACACCTCGCAGATTCAAAAAAAGCCGCATGGGCGCACACAAAGGATTCCTTCGATTTACTCACACCGTGAATTTATCTGCGAACTTCGTTTACCTATTTCAACGCTTCAGGGAAATTGGAACGTTCGGCCGTCTGGAGGGAAACTAAATGGCACATTCTAACCAGAGACTCAAAAATAGCAGCAGCAAAATGATTGCTTTTGTAAAAAGAAATGTTAGAGATTGCCCAAAAGTAAATCGTGACAAAAGGAAACTTCCTTCATATGAACATGGATGTGATAAAGTAAAAATTACAAAATATAACGATTTGTATCAATTCAAAAAAAAAAAACGAAAATATGTGTTGAGCATAACGCAATGCATGATAGATCCAACGAAAGGAACAAAATATTTGCTATAGTGGTACGGGGTTTCCAAGGAGAATAATTGAAAGCGACAGTGGTGAGCAAGGTAACAAATAATGCGTCAATAAAGCGTCGTGAAAATGGTTCGTGGATGAGGTCCACATAAAGATCGCTCTTGTGGAGGGGACCATAGCCCTAAATCACCAGCTCCTTTGCTTCCAGGTGAGAAAAGTTAAGAGTTAGGGCATATGGTCCCCTTCAGATTAGATTTCGGCATACTAGATAGCCCGTTTTTCCCATATAAGAGGGTCGGCATCTAGTCGTCAACACTCTTGC